CAGATTGATCATAAAGAAAGTTTCGTAATTCATCGCGTCATAGCTCACAAACGGTAAGGCATAAGAAGGTGAATCTGAATAGGGGGTCTTAAAGCTATCGTGCGGATTCAATTGTCACAGTTGTCACATTTCGCCATCAGGGGTGTCACTGTGGTTACTTTCGCATACTTCCCAGGGGTATAAACGAGTGTGTCGATTACAGTGTAAACTCATTCAACCAGCAAGAAACTGGTTAACTAGTAAAAATGTTATTAAACCAGAAGATACAATACCAAGGCAGCTCTAAGGGAATACTAAAGATTGCGTAACATCAGCAGAAAGTTTTGTTCCGGTGTTGTTGTGTGCAAATTAATAAAAACAATTAAAGAGACGAGTTGTACTTTTTATAAACCACGTACAGACATCCAAAAGACACCAATATTAGAAGTCAGCTATTCCGTAGCAGAACAATCCAGCATATTGTCCGCATTTGCCATTTTCATCTGTATTTTACAAGCTGCATCATATTCAAAGACTAAGGAAACGAATTTAACCAGACGTGTTGATTTAACGTTGCGGTTCTTGGCAAGGCTGACAGACGATTAACAATGGTCTGCCAATACCTGACGGACTGATAAAGCACATTCCGTCCTTTTTAGAAGTGTCAACACATGCAACTACATTATTTGGTCGGAAACTAATCCATATGAATATTTCCTACACATATCCATGATTCTAAGACAACATTGTTGTGGGGTTTCACATCTGACTTAGTTATTTGACCATACTTCTATGAAGAACCACTGGCGCATGTACTTCAAACCAGCACATCAGTGCTGCACACTATCATGCAGTGCTCACAACCAATGTACCTACCATAGTACAACAACGAAATCTGATAGCCATTACGGTTTTCATACAGAATGGTGGCCCTCAGGTGAAACATTTCTTGTGGGAGCACTTTCAGGACAAAATCATTCATGTCATTTTCCTTGTGAGTGACACAACGTTTACCATTATCTAACATCAGTCCATTTCTGGTTGTAGGGAGATACCTGAAATCATACTAGTACCATGGGAAGCGGCCAGAATGCCAGATGAGATGTGCCTTGTTACTATAATATCTATCAGTTGTCTGGAAAGTGACCAAAATCCCAAATGAGACGTACCTTGTTACCCTAATATCCATCAATTGTCTGGGAAGCAGCCAGAATGCCAGATGAGATGTACCTTGTTACTATAATGTCCATCAATTGTCTGGGAAGTGGCCAGAATACCAGAAGATATGTGCCTTGTTACCGTAATGTCCATTGTCACACGGATGCTATGCATTCATGACGCTGGAGGGTCATATTTTGAACAGTTGCTGTAAGTGACCAGACACTAGGTCATAGTGGCTCCCCTGGTGTCAACATGAAATGACAGCTGTGGTACCATTAATACACCAGTGCAATTTCACCTTCCTATGCGTAGGCCCGGCATGGCCAGGCGGATAAGGTGCTCGACTCACAATCTGAGGGTCTCGGATTCGAATCCG